CGATCCTGCACTTCATACTTGCTGCTAGCTCGAGCAAGCTCGACAGAGTCAGCCGATGCCAGAGTGGGAGTCGACGTCGTCTACCTGGACTTCCCGAAAACGTTCGATCGTTTGGACCACCGCATTCTCCTTCACAAACTTCGAGGCTATGGAATCGGTGGCCCTGTATTCGGTAGCATCGGCAACTTCTTCATGCAGCCTCAGCTGATTGGGTCCACAGCTTACTTTCCGATCCAATTGACGTCCCTTGGGTCCACGTTTATTCCTCACATTCATTAACGATCTTTCTATTGTACTGCAGTCGAATTTCTCACTATTTGCTGGTGGTGTCAGAAACTGGCATGATATCAAGTTGGTGGATGATCACATGGCATTGCAGAGCGATATCGACAGGGCTAATGCGTGGTGATCTGACAACCGGCTCCAGTTCAATGTGACCAAGTGCAAAGTTGCAAGCATACGTCATCAGCTTATCTATGAATATCGACTCAAGGACCAGTAGTTACAACGTGCTTCTCAGGAGAACAACCTCGGGGTGATCGTGCAGCACGATCTTGGCTGCTCGAAACAGGCTGAAAAGGCACCAGAAAGAGCTAGTCAACATCTTGGACTCTTACGGAGGGCTTTCGGCAATTTCGAGCCATCAACCTTTTGCAAATGCTGTACGTCTACGTGTGGTGAATATCGATGTCAATGAGGAGACTTCATCATGATTTATTCAGCTCACAACCTGTTGCCTTTGAGTCAAAATATCAACCTGAGAGGCCATCAGCCCGAACTGGTTAAGCACTACAGTCGACTTGACTGTCGACGAATCCTTTTCTCCATCCGTGTGTCCCGTGCCTGAAACGCCCTTCCGACTCACGTCATCCCTGCTACTAGGTTAACACTTCAAAGAAACGTCTTGATGACTGGCTTTCCAACTTGCATTACTTGATATAGTCTGTATCATTTGGAGCACAAAATGACGCGAACCGAACCATGTACTTAACAGCCCCCTAAAGCAACATGGCGGTGCGGATACATGTTTCTGACCTTATGAGTACAACGTATGAATCTTAATTGGATCAACACATTACATCGGACAACTGAAGCAAAGCACGAGCGTGCGTTGTCATTTTGCATTTTTCTCAGCATGTTACTAAACTACAACTGATTTCCATACTATTTTGCATGCACATATCCCATTCCCATTTCAAAATGTGGTTGACTAAAGGCAGACACTATTGCGCCAGTTCGCACTAGTGTGGCCCATGGATGCTAAACAGCAAACAGCCAACAGCAGGCCGTAATGACTCCCCCAAATGAAAGAAACACTTTGGAAGGGCAACAGTATGCGCACGAGGAACGGACGCATAAGCAGTGCACACTGCACAATTACTAGCCACAGAAAGAAACCCGCGCCATGTAATCACCAACCGGGAGGACGAAGATGGGAGTATTTCTCCTTTGTCGGAACGATATACTTAGTATTAGTTATGGTCTGTCAAAAAGCAATTCGCTTGCACGCGGTTCTTACATTGCTGTGACCAAACAAGGTGCATCATGAAATCCACCGCCCCGAGGCGTTTGAAGATGTGAGCACCTTCTAGGAGAACTTTGAGAATCTGGCGGAGACGGTTGGATTCAGGACCGGCCGGACGAGGCTGGTGGACATGCGGAGCCTTTTCGAGGGCAGGGCGAAGGCAGTCCTGGAGGTGACACGAAGAGGACCTGTCGTTGGGTGGGCGGCCACGAAGGAAGCGTTGGTGTCCGGATTGGACAGCGCGGCCGACCGCCATGAGGCGATACGCTGGTTTAAGACAGCACGGCTTGATGTATGGTCTGATCCCTTAGTGTTTGCAGTTCACAACAGGCTTGTTGGATGGGGCCTTGCTGGGATTGGACGAACCGTCATAACAGCATTTACTGGTGGATCAGTTCATGGTCAGTCTTCCGCGACCAACCGCGGAAGGCCTCCGGATTACGAACGCTACTCGGCGTCTGCGGCTGCAGGAGTTGGCGCAGATTACTTGTGAACTCTGTGCTGCGCCACTGCTGCGCTGAAGGAGGAACACCATGGAGGCGTGGAGCGGTTGGATAACCTGGAACGAATGATGGAACAGCTCGTGAAACATGTCAATGGGATTCGTACTCAGCGCTCAGAGGAGCGCGCAAGCGGATGTTGCTTCCTTTGCTGGAAACCGGGACACTGGAAAGACAATGTCCGGTGAGGCACGCGGCTGTTCGTGTACCAAATGCATTCAACTTTGTTTTTCTTCAGATCGAGGAATGTGTGCTCGGGGCGCTGAGTACGGGGGCAATTGAAGCGGTGGTGGAACTCCACGGAACCATGGAACGGTGTCTGATCGATATGCGTGCCGTAGTGTCGCCTCTCAACTATCGGCGAGGCGACAAGCTTCAATCGTGCTCTACGATTGTGAGAGCATTTGACAATCACTCAGTGGGCATTGATACTATGGCCGAACACACCGTGGAAATCAGGGGACGGAAGCGAACGCAGGTCTTCATCATGTCACCAGATGCGAAACAAACCATCTTGGGAGCAGATTTCCTGGAGTTCAACAAGACTATCGTCAATTTAAAACGAGGGAAGTCATTGACTGAATACGGGTCGCTGCTACCCACTGGCCGGGGAGGAACGAAACCTTCGCAATCGATTGTTGCCCCGTTACATTTGAGCCCGAGCTTGCAGTCATTGACCACAAAGTATCACCCCTTGTTTACGACTGACAGCAGCCCGTATGAATTTTCCGACTGGATCGCACACACCATTCCGCCAACCCGCCAGAAGTATCGGCCCCATAGAACGCGAAGAATACCAATCGGGCTGGAGACTGGAGTGAAGAAGAAAATACAGGAGATGCTGGACACGGATGTGATTGAGTAGGCGCACACTCCACCCAATTCTCCAGTGGTCTTGGTGAAGAAGGCGAATGGGAGGTACCGGTTCTGTGTAGACTTCTGAAGGCCGGATGAAATCTATTTGAGTTGTTTCGTTCCAGTGCCATCAGTTGCTGCCATTTTTGATAGGTTGCAACAGTCGAGGATACTCACGGTTCTGAATCAGAGATATGGATACTGGCAGCTGGCGATCAAACGAGAAGACCGAGAAACATACTGCGTTTACCGTCGATGAAAATAACACCAATTTACAAAGATTCCCTTTGGATTATCGTGAGCCCCGGTTGTCTTCCGACGTTTAATGTTTCACTTATTGAGTGGCATGGAAAACGTAGCAGTGTACGGGGATCATATCGCGGCGTATGGCCAATCAGGCGGAGCACAGCGATCATCTCGAAACAGTCTTGGAACCGATTCAGCAGTCGGGACTCCGTATAAATGGGCCAAATTCCCACATTGGGACGACTTGTGTCACCTTATTGGGCTATAAAGTTGGAAAAGGTGAGCTGACGCCACTGTCTGAAAAAATATGGACAAGGCACTCCCAGTTCATACCTCAGAGCGCACCATCGAGCCTTCCTAAGCCATGCTGGGTACTACGGAAAATTCGTCAAAGTATTCAACAATTAAGCCTCGTCTTTGTACGAGCTACTGAAACAAGGTAATAAATTCACTTGGACAAGCCTTTGATCGCGTTCTACAGGGAATGGGAAAGCAGGAGCTGACCCGGAAGTGGCCCATTACTGGAGAGATGTTCACGGTAGCCACCGATGCCAGCGATGTCGGAGTCGGCGCGGTTTTGAAACAAATCTTTAGAACGATTGAGTACGCCAGCAGAATTGTGCCACCGGCAGAACACGAATACTCAAAGATAGAGAAGAAATGTCTCGTAATCGTCTGGGTGTTAGACAAATGGCGGCCGTATCTGGTAGGTCAGCGATTTCACGTCGAAAAGGACCACAAGCTTTTGAAATGGATTAAGTCTGCCAAAGACCCCAAGGGAAAGCTAGCACGATGTGCGCTACGCCTACAGGAATACAACTTCACGATAAACCACGTGCAGGGGAAGGAGAACCAAACCGGAATTTTTGTGACGCACGATGAACGAAAATGATCTGTCGGGTGTGGCTTTTGGTGTTAAAGGTATACTGTTGAAGCAGCATCCGGGTCACCTGGCAGCCGAGCAATGTTGCGAAAACTCTTGTGCAAAGTGCTCAGGAATAACCGGTCAGTCAGTCCTAAACAAGAGCCAACACAAGCGGCTCGGACCGTTGGCGATAAATCTTGAAAAGCCACAAGGAAATGAAGCGGGGATCCTGATGTGGATACTATGAGGCAGCAACACTTTGGTGCCGGTTATTCCGACGAAACTAAAGCGGATACTGGTGATTGCTTGTCCCAAGATAGCGCACCGGTTGTTCCAGGGCCTACGATCTACTGAAACAACGCGCCTATTGGTCAGGCATGAAGAGGGAGGTCGAGACATGTGCTTTTCTGCAAGCAATGTCAGTTCTTGAAAACCAGCTGCCGAGGAGCGCAACAACAGGTGCTGTGGATTCCGGTATCGGAAATTGGTGAACTATGGTCGATCGATATGATGGGACCGTTTCCATGGACCAGGCGGGGCAACCAATACATCTTGTTGATGACAGCACTTAACGCGCTGGATTGAAGTAACAGGAATCCTGGATCAAAGGTCGACTATCATTACCCATGCCGTCATGAAACACTTGATAGCGGATCACGGAATCCCCAAGGTCATATTAACAGATCAGGGCCTATGTTTCCAGAGTGAGGAATTCCGGAACTGTTTGGAGAAACTTGGTAGCAAGAAAATGCGGACAAACCCATACCCCCCGCAGAGAAATGGCTTGACAGGTCGTAACAATAAAACGATTAAGGAGTGGCTAGCGGCAAAGGGTGGAGACTGGGAAGAAGCTTTGCCACTGCCGTTTCTGACCCATGGAGGATTCAAACAGGTTTTTACAAAGTAAGCACCATTCCAAATGATGTACGGTCGGGCACCTCACCTACCTGTGAATCTGGAGGATGGAATGTGGCCAACTTGCCGAATAGCTCCCAGGAAGGCAGCCAACCGTAACCTGAAGACAACTCAGTCGCAGAGGATAAAAAGTCCCAGACCAACAATGGTGAGATGAGCGTCGAGTTTCCGATCGGTTCAAAAATGAAATACAGGAACTATCAACGCGCACCCACTTCTGGCCCATGGGCGAAGAAGAAGGGACCGTACGATGTGGTCTACCGGCGAGACCCAGTGTACACAATCGCTCGGCAAGGAGATTCACGGCGAGTGCATTCCAGTGCGTTGGAGAACTGGCAGGAGTTAGAGGAGGAACCCTTTTCGCACAGTGAGCATCAGCGGCAATCAGAAATACTCCAAGCGAAGGCAGCTGGGGAGAGCAATTCGGAAGGGGTGGAGTGTGGTGGACTAAAGGCAGACACTATTGCGCCAGTTCGCACTAGTGTGGCCCATGGATGCTAAACAGCAAACAGCCAACAGCAGGCCGTAATGACTCCCCTAAATGAAAGGAACACTTTGGAAGGGCAACAGTATGCGCACGAGGAACGGACGCATAAGCAGTGCACACTGCACAATTACTAGCCACAGAAAGAAACCCGCGCCATGTAATCACCAACCGGGAGGACGAAGATGGGAGGATGTCTCGTTTGTCGGAACGGATATACTTAATATTAGCTATAAGCAGCTCCACTTGCACCTCGGGTTCTTACAAAACTATCCTTATGCAGCAGTGTGTCTACATAGGTTGAAGCTTAGAATTACGACTTACTTATCCTCTGATTCTTTCTAGTTTGATTTGCAACTGTTCCATGGGACTTGTCAATCACATGCATATTTCCTCTTGATGAATTTTTCTTTATTATTTACATCACGTTCAAATATTTTCACCATTTCTCCCGTTGCGTTTAGCATAGTTGTTACATTGTTCTGTATAAGACGTCCTTCTATTTCTCTCCTAAACATTTTAACATCTGCACTCCTATCTTTACCAACTCTTCCTAGACTCGTTCAAAAACCGCGTAAACAGCTTCGATTGACTTGTTTCCACACACATAAATTTGGTTTATTGATCCTTTGACACAACCAAACAGCAATCACTCTAGCTTCACGCGCTCTTGACCAAAGCGACTCGGTCGCCACTCCGCAGCAGTGACAGACTATATCGCAAGCGAAGTATACGGCAGCATGTCACTGAAACAAAACTGACACCTTGCAATGTCTCCGCGAACTGCCAAATGACATTCGATTGATACAGTGCTTCTCGTGGGATTGACTGACTATATTAGAAGACGCGTTCTCTGCTTAATTGAGATCAGGCAAACTTTCTATTCGCTCGAATAATCAACAACTTTGTGAACTTGTACGAGTTGTTAGGACCAACAACTTGAGCAGTGTCTCGCAAAGTCAAGAAATAAACAATGTATTTATTTATTTATTTAAAACTAGTTCCACCCTGTTCACCACTGTTTATTCCGGACGAACTTCCAATGGATGGATAGGGCTCGATTTCTGTTAATGCACTGCGTAACAGCAATCCTCTTCGCTGTAGTGGTGACTGCGTACTGTCATTTCCAGTCTGACTAGTCGTTTGTCAGACGGTTCAGCTCTATGCGATGCAGTTCGCTGCTCGCACCATCAATTAGCCTAATAATGAAGTGAGATTGATCCTATTCCCACTTACCTATTATCAATTGTTTAAGCATTTTGGCCAAAACATATTCCTCCGTTAACTTTCATTAGTTAACCGATATCGAGACTTTTGTACACTACTGCTGCGTGCCATGTATCGATCACCTCTCGTTCTTGTCCACATCACCTGGTTGCTGCCACCGCACTGTGTACTATTGTAACCAGAGTGCTTGTTTTCTTATCCAATTCTCGCAGCATTCCATTCTAGGCGTAAGTTATACCCACACATTGTCTACCCGAGTGAGATGGTAACCATTTTACGTGCAACCAAAATATTCTTTTGCCGAAGCGTCCATTATTCTAGCTGCTCTGTTGGTGCATAATTTCGACTACCGGTATCAACGTTCGCTTACTGTGGCTAAACATGATTTGCACATAACTCATTCCGAGTACCATTCAAATACATGATTAACTGGCAATAATTTACTTCCATGGCTCTGGATAATATCCTCACAATCATTCATTACCGCCCCGCCAAAGCAGTTAACTTGACAGGGATCTGGGCTAAGGAGGTCTTGAGCAAATTCGCATTTATAACTGAAAGCTTGTACTTTGTTGTGTTAACCTGAATCCCGTTGTTCAGAACCATCACATCAAAACTTAGGTCTATAGATAAGTGTTACCTAACCCTGTTCACTACACTACAAGCATTGATTATGTGAGGCATCAATCGCAAAGTAATCGGTGAAATAGTCTGAAATGTTCACACGAATTTTCCAGTTACTCATGTATAAGTTTATAGATGTGCAATGGACTTTCGTGAATCTTTCGAGGCACCATTGACTCGTACGTTTGACGAACAACATCTTCAGCAGACTAAAGCAGTTTAAGCAGTAGAACAATGGTATACTACGGGTACAAAAAGTCAAGAGAGTTCCGTGGGATGGTGTGTGCAAAATACATAAGTTCGAAAAATGTGACAGCAAAGTACACCGCGTATCTATGAACTAAATATGGTTGGCAACATCCAGTTTATCAGTTGACTGTCACTGCGGCCTCGGTGATGGAAAATGGCACAATACAGGTAATAAAAGCCAAGGATTGATAGATCCCGTGGGATGGTTTGTGTGAATCACATAGGAGAGCCACAGGATGCTTACAGACAGACCATGGATGGCTTGCGCTGCACCACCCCACGGTTCCATCCAAACAAACTATATCCAGGGTAAACCCGAGAGAACCTTTGCTGCACCCTCGGCACTTTGAGCACATCCATTTCTGGGCTGAGCAAGGGAGTGCCACACTTTATTCTTCGGAGGCCGTACACAGTAGCCTTTTATTTACCCACAGCCTTTTTACTGGGAACTGCTAAAGTGGTAATTTGTCCTTACGGACAAAGGTGGTACGGTGCCTACGCTGCACCATATAGCTGCTCCAGACGTCATGATTATGGTCGGCACTATACGCACACCATGTAACCTCCCTTGTCACCATGCATTTTCGAGTTCTTCTGCAGATGAATGGCGGTGCTCTTGCAGAACGAAGAGGCCTGATTTCCGACGCGGATGTGAGCAGATTGTTGAACTTGTTAACGAACTCCACCGGTTGTTATTAATGAAACCGTCATCCATAAATCTCATGTAGCTTCTCCAAAGAGTTCGGTTAGAAGGCTGCAATGGGTGATTGTTCGTGCTATTCCAATGTGTGCTGCTTAAACTCCGCATAACACAGATAGCCGTAAAGTATGATGACATAGTCACTCAGCCCTAGATGAGGCCCCATCCATAACAGGGCAACAAGCGTTCCAATAATAAAACTTCGCCTATGTTCCCCAGAGAATGGTGATACAGTCCTTAAGATTGGAATAACTTGTTCTAGTTGGATCAGCTCGTATTGTCCGCGGTGTATGGGTAAATCCGTCCAAGAACTGAGACAGACAAACAAAACTGCTGACATATTTTGGTTTTCTCTAACCTTCCCAGCCATTTTCTGTTATCATCTGTTTATCTATGCTCATGAAAACGCGCGATAGAATGACCGAGATAATCGTGCATTTTATAAATACGAACATCGCTCTCTCGGAGGTGAATACCGTCACGCTAGCACCACAGCAAGTCCAAGTAAGCTCTGGCTCTAAGCCGAAAAATAGAGCTAGACGTTCCAACCGCATTCCAGCCGCTGTGTCTATAAATCCTCTTGGTCATCTCACGCCCATAAGCGGACAAGCCACAGGCATGCCTGCATTCACTCCGTCAACCATCGACGATTCACTTGGAGATTTAGTTATGACACCGACAGCTCAGCGCTGGAGGCAATACGGTACAGGAAACAAGCAAGTAACCTAGGCATCGGTTGCCTCGATAAACACACAGGGAGCGACACGTGTAATTCCAGCTTTGGTACCGAGCACACGAGGGGCGACGCAGCCTCCACTAACCAATCCAGTGGTACCTTTCAAACGGCCCAAATTACCAGCAAGAAATCTAAAATGGATACTCAATAGACAAAACCACGGTGCGTTAAATCTCGTGCGCACTAGTGTTCCCGAGTCCAAATCTGGTACAACAAAAGGCAAGTTGCTAGAAGATGGCTCAGATGCCGAATAGACAGTTCAAGCCTAGCATCCATGTTTGAAGCACAAGCTTAATGCACTGGAGCAGCCACAAAGTCGGGCATCTAAGAACCTAATTGGGATGCGCAATCTTCCATAGCAGAATACGCTGCGGAAGCTATCGCAGACTGCGAGGTAACCTGCTTATGGTATATTTAATTCTGCGAGACCCACATCATATATGCCGCGCTTTACTGTGACTCTGCACCAATACAACTCTAAGGGGCCACTCATTGAAACTCGCTGTACGGTATAGCCGCCTGGAGTGCCGCAAATATATCTTTCCCATTCGTGTCTACCACCTGCAGAATGTTCTCACAGAATCGGTCGTCTCTGCACCGACACTAACGGTATTTAAAAGCCGGTTGGATGACACACTCATCCACTTACACTTTGTCACTTAGCACTAAGTCTCCATCCTACACCTGGAGTTTAGCATGGAATAATCTGATGTTAACTGCGGGTGCTGTGAATCTAAGCGGATTGCAGGACTACGGAGGAGCGAACGATAAGTCATTATTTTCATACTTGAGTACTAACTGTTTTACCATCATTATTCTCATTATTATTATTATTATTTCGATATCCATACCAACTATCCAACGGGACTTGTAAAGCAACGCTTGTTAACCCGTATAAATTCATTGTTCATTGTACGTCCTAAGTCGAATAAGCTACCCAGGTTTTGCAACCCTGCTTAAAGCGCGACCTTGCTGCGTTCAAAGGACTCCGGGCAAGGAAGATTGCTAAGGGCTTGCGGTATCTTCCGTATCCGAACAACTGCAGAGATTCTGATTGCTCAGTGGACGCCACGGGGAGAACACATCAGGGTATACCAAAGACTGCGTGCTCGCACTTATGTATGCGGACACCTAAAACGGGGAACACAAAGTAATGTACCGTTACTTTGCACATTAACATACCACTATAATAATCAAGTTTGATCTAGCTCAAGCGCTTACATGTCCTGCGATCAGTATACACCTTTCTCCCATGGGTTTGCAACATTGCGTGTTAGTGCCTCCATCGTTTGTAACCTTGGCAAGTTTCTGTGTTCTTCGACTACTCCACAACCCGATTTCCCGCAAACAATCGATGTTAACTACCAAGTGTTTTGAAGCGGTGTTTCAAATGCATCTCTTGAACCTCATATTTCAGTCTGGCCTTGCACCACTTTATCGCACCCCTTCCTGCTATGGGTTCAATGAACAATGAAGTTATACAGGTTAAAAAGCGTTGCTTTACAAGTTCCGTTGGATAGTTTCCTGGGATATCAAAATAACAATAATGATGATAAGGTCAGTAAAATAGTTAATACTTTAAATATGAAAATAAGGGCTTATCGTTTGCTCCGCTGTAGTCCTGCGACCCTCTTAGATTCACAGCACCCACTGTTAGCAACAAATAATTCTATGGTATACTCTAGGTGTAGGATGGAGACGTAGTGTTAAGTAACAAAGTGTAAGTGGATGAATGCAACGTCCAACCGTCTTTTAAATACTTATATTGTCGGTGCAGAGACG